AGAGTAGTTTAGAAGGGAGGTTTTGTGATTAATTTCTTGGATGATGGTTTAAAATGTAGCAAATGCCTATTCATAGGCTCAAGTCACCAACCTTTCAATGGTGGTGAATATTGTAGAGTTCTCATGATAGGTTATTATCATGATAAATCTAGATTTTTCTATCTTTGCCATATACTTATATATCTAGATTATTCTACCATATTCATACACCTTATAGTTTTTAGGATGTTCTATATTTTCTTACATATTATATTTAATAACTCTCTAGAAATTTGTAGCAAATTTAACACTCCTCCTTGATACAAATTTCTTTGACTCCAAGCATAGCTCGTAGCTCTTCAAATCTTGGTCTCGGCAACGCCTTCGTGAATATGTCTGCAATTTGATCTTCTGTTCTGCAGTAGTCGAGTTTGATCTCTTTAGGTGCTTCAGCTTCTCTTATAAAGTGATACTTGATTGCTATATGTTTTGTTCTACTGTGATGCACTGAATTCTTTGCCATTGCAATTGCTGATTTGTTGTCGCAATTGATTTTAGTTGGCTGATCCTATTTTTCTCCCATGTCTTCAAGTATCCTACGAAGCCATATAGCCTGACTCGTTGCTTTAGCAGCTGCCACGTACTCTGCTTCTGTTGTGGATTGTGCAACCGTAGCTTGCTTCTTAGACGCCCAAGAGAAAATTCCTGATCCGAGTGAGAAAGCATAGCCAGAGGTGCTCTTCATGTCATCTACCGAACCTGCCCAATCACTATCGGTGTAGCCAAGTAATCCTGAGTTAGTTTCGATAGAGTACCATATACCTAACTCTTTTGTTCCTTGTAGATATCTCAAAATTCTTTTTCCTGCTCCAAAATGTATTTGACTTGGACTTTGCATGAATCTTGATAGAAGACTTGTAGCATACATTATGTCTGGTCGCGTAGCTGTCAAATATAAGAGGCTTCCAATTAAACTTTGATATTTGGATGCATCAGCTTCTGGTGCTCCATCATTCTTTTGTAGTTTCTCATTTGTTATGAGTGGGGTAGCGACAGGTTTGCAACCGTACATCTTGAATTTCTTAAGTAAGCCTTCTGTGTATTTCTTTTGTGAGATGAATATCCCTTCATTTCTTTGGCTTACCTCTATACCGAGGAAGTAACTCATCAAACCAAGGTCGGTCATCTCAAAGGTCTTCATCATGTCTTCTTTGAACTCCGTTATCATCTTAGTATTGTTTCCCGTGTAGATAAGGTCATCTACATATAGAGAGAGTTAGAGAGTGTACTGACCTTGAGACTTGATGTATAGTGTGGGATCACTCTTGCTTCTCCTAAATCCTTGATCCATGAAATATTGATCGATTCTGCTATACCATGCTCGAGGAGCTTGCTTCAAACCGTATAGTGCTTTTCTTAGTCTTAACACTTTGCTCTCTTCGCCTTCAGATATGAATCCTTGTGGCTGCTCCACATAGATCTCTTCTTCAAGTACACCATTGAGGAAGGCATATTTGACATCCAATTGATGTATACTCCATCCTTTTTGTGCCGCAAGAGCTATTAGAGCTCTAATGGTATCAAGATGAGCTACTGGTGCAAATGTCTCATTATAGTCAACCCCAGGTTGTTGTGAGTAACCCTTAGCTACTAGCCTTGCCTTATGTTTCTGTATGGTGCCATCAGGATTAAGCTTTGTCTTATAGACCCACTTAACCCCAATGATATCTTTTCCATGAGGACGATTTACTAACTCCCATGTGTTATTTTTCTCGATCATCTTTATCTCTTCTTCCATTGCCTTGACCCATGCTTCATGCTTTGATGCTTCTTCAAAGCTTCCAGGTTCGAGTATGGCCATGTTGCAGGTTTCATATATGTCTCTCAAAGATCTTACTCGTCTTGGAGTAGACTCTGGTGATGATAGTTCTTGAACTTGTTGTTGTGGTGGAGGTGAAGAAGGTTCACCTAGGACTTCTTCCTTAGCTTCTTCTTGAGGTAGTTGAGTGGGTATAAGAACATTCTTCTCCACTTTTTCTTCATCCCAATTCCAAGAAGCATTCTCATCAACTTCAACATCTCGACTGATGATGAGTTTTTTTGTTTGCAAATTATATACACGGTAGCCTTTAGATATTGTGCTATACCCCAAGAAGATACCTCGTATAGTCTTGTCTTCAAGCTTATGCCTCTTCACGTCTGGAATATGAATGTAGCATATAGATCCAAAGACCCTTAGGTGCTTTGCTGATGGCTTCTTCCCGTTCCAAGCCTTAATTGGAGTCTTATCTTGTACATATTTAGTTGGACATCTGTTGAGTAAGTAAACAGCAATGTAGACTGCTTCAGCCCAGAATGTGTTAGGTAGTCGCTTCTCTTTGAGCATCGATCTAGCCATCTCCATAACTGTGTGATTCTTTCTCTCAGACACACCATTTTGCTGAGGAGAATATGCGACTGTAAGTTTTCGCTCTATGCCTTCATCCTCACAAAATCTATCAAACTCGCGGGATGTGTACTCTTTTCCGCGATCACTTCTTAGTACTTTTATCCGCTTTCCACTTTGATTTTCAACAAGGGCCTTGAACCTTTTGAATACTCCAAAAACTTTTGATTTTTCTTTCAAGAAATAGACCCATATCATTCTAGATAAGTCATTAATGAAGAGTATGAAGTACATGTTGTTCTCGTGTGATGGCGTCCTCATCGGTCCACAGACGTCAGTATGTATCAGCTCCAACAGATCTTTTGCTCTCCATGCTCCGCTTGTTGAGAATGGAAATCGGTGTTGCTTATCAAGGAGACATCATTCACACACTTCATTGTTATCCTTTATGCTTGGAAGATCTCTCATCATGTTCTTATCATGTAACAACTTCAAGGCATGTGTGTTGAAGTGGCCAAATCTTCGATGCCAAAGCCATGAATCATCAACTTTTACCTTCATGGCAATGTTAGTTGTATATTTTAAATTTAGCGAGAAGCTTCTATTGCTCTTATTCATCTTCTCTTCGGCTATCTCGGCCCTTTTATTCTTGTTGTCTAAGATTTTGCATACACCTCCTTCAAAGTGAAGTGTGTAGCCTCTCTCCATCATTTGGCCAATGCTTAGAAGATTTTCTTTTAGGCTGGGAACTAGTAAGACATCATGGATGAGTCGCGTACCTTTATCTGTCTCTACCACGACGGTGCCTTTTCCTTTTGACTCAACCACACTTCCATTTCCTAATCGAACTTTGACTTTGACTGACTCATCAATGCTTTTGAAAATAGTCTCATCCTTGGCCATGTGATTGCTACATCCACTATCCAAGTACCAACTTTCTCCTTTATCTTTGATTGATTCTTGAGTGGCATAGAACATACATTGTTCTTGATCATGCTCCTCTGCGATATTAGCTTGATGCCTATTTTTGTTGCGACAGTGTTTCTCTATGTGCCCGAATTTCTTGCAATGATTGCATTGTGGCATATTACGGTACCAACAACTTTTCTCCTCGTGGCCTAGTCGTTTGCATATATTACATGGAATATTTTTATCTGGATTGTTCTTTTGGAAATTTCTATGAACTTCTCTTCTTTTGGAAGTTTCAGCATAATTTTTCTTTCCTCCATTTTCTTTATTTTGGGACTTAAATTTGAGCTTTGACTGAAGGCATTTTCAAGTGTATCTTCTTTATGCCTATGTAGTCTTTGCTCATATGCTTCAAGAGAGCTCACTAGGTCTGTCACTGATAGAGTAGACATATCTTTAGTTTCCTCTATTGTTGTCACGATTGGGTCAAATTTTGGAGGCATAGTAATTAGAATTTTCTCAACAATTTTCTTGTCAAGAATATCTTCCCCAAAAGCTCTCATTTAATTAACTATTTCTTTAACTTTAGAATAGTAATCTTTAACTGTCTCAGACTCCTTCATCTTCAATAGTTCAAAATCTCTTCTTAGAGATTGAAGTTTGACAGCACGTACCTTGTCATTTTCTTGAAACTCCTCCTGCAACGTCTTTCATGCTTCTTTTGCAGTCTTAACTCCCATAATTCTTAAAAAAAACTGCATCAGTCACCGCTTGTTACAAGGTGAACAATGCCTTTGAATTTTTCTGTTTATTTTTCTTCAACTCTTTTTCTTGAACTGGATTTAGAGCTGAAGTATCTATGGGAGCGATGAAGCCTTCTTCTACTATGTCCCATAAATCTTGAGATGAAAAATATGTTTCCATTTTAACACGCCAGAAATCATAATTTTCACCGTTGAAAATAGGGACACAAATAGTTGATGATTGAGTAGTGTTATCCATGGATATTGTAGTGGGTTAATAGTATAAGGAAAATATTTTGAAATAGTTTGAAGGATTATGAAATGGTAGGTATTAGTATAACTACGCCCAATGTATTACTGAACGTATCTCTGATGCCACTGTTTAGAATTGTTTAGATGATAGTTGGTAGAAGATAGTTTTAGAAAGTAGTTTAGAAAGAAAGTTTTGTGATTAATTTCTTAAATGATGGTTTACAATGTAGCAAATGCCTATTTATAGGCTCAAGTCACCAACCTTTCAATGATAGTAAATATTCTAGAGTTCTCATGATAGGTTATTATTATGATAAATCTAAATTTTTCTATCTTTGTCATATACTTATACTTCTAAATTATTATACCATATTCATACACCTTATAGTTTCTAAGATGTTCTATATTTTGTTAGATATTATATTTAAGAACTCTCTAAAAATTTATAACAAATTTATAACAAATTTAGAAGACCCATGTAACACAAGCTAAATATGTACATAGTAGAATAAACTATTCTTAACAACAGAAAAAGCTACAAAAGGAAATGTAACTTTCTTTACACCATGATTGATCACTCTAAAACCCGGTCTTCATTGATTTGTTTAGACACCATGATTGATCTGTGACCTTAACAACTTGGAATCTCATCTTCACAAGATATCACCCGCTCTTCCTGCACATATTTGCTATCTTAAGCCATTATATGACAGAAATTGAACAAAAGTATATTATGAATAATATTGTAGAAACTCTAACGTCTTTTGATTGAGCGTGGCCGCTGCTGCCATCGACCCAGCCACACCGCCCGGTGTAGTTCTTATGTCATCTTTGTTTCTAAGCTCAGCTCCAATCACTCCCTCCGCATCCTCTCGTGTTACTGCCTTGTCTGCTCCCAGCTTCTCCCTCGCACCCTCCATTCAAGTCATTAAACACAACAATATGTCAGTCATATAGCATAATCTAGTACATTATCCTAATTAACAGTTCGAAATCCATGTTCTTGACTTAATGTTGGATCAGATAAGTTACCGATACGACATCAGCCAATGTTGTTTTCTGATGAGGCATAGTACGAGTGTTCCGAGTTGCTGCTGACTGAGCCATGGCTCCCAACCCACCAGGCTCAGTTTGATTCTTTCCGGTGGCTCTCATTTCCGCTGCTTGTATAGCAGCAGCGTCGCTCTGATCCAACGGCTTATCACCTGCTCGAGTTACAGCAGAAGCTTCCAGCGCTTCTCCAATGGTTATAGCATTCTTGTCCAAAACTAGCCCAGGATCTAAGGCTTGGTTCTCTGTTCCCTGCATGAGGGCTGCGTCTCTAGGTTTGGCTGGTGGTTGCTCAGGAAACTGATTTGTTTGTGGTCTCTGTGACTGTTCTTGACTCATGATATTCTGCACTTTGGTTTAGATTGTTTTGCTTTAAGTGTATGTTTATAATCTTAATATATGTTGCTTCATTGTACTGGATTAGGAACTATAACTGAGTGAGTTTATATAGAAGAAATTCGTGGATACAAAAAGATGAAGGGAGATATTACATAGTCATGCGAGTGAAAGATGGTTGTTCCATGTTTAGAGGTACAGGTGGCATTGGAAGCAGCAAAGTGCATGCAGCATGACACGTGTTAAAAGAAATTTTATAAAGAAGACAAAGCATGTTCTCTAGAACTAAATACGGATTACCTTTTTTTTCTTTTCTACATCTACACCACCGACTTGTGGAGTGAGTAAATGAACTTCCAGCATTGTAAATGAATAGAGTGACTCGACTTACCTCAACTCGATAACAGTGAGTTCAATTTAAAATTCAGTTTGTGTGTGCAAAGAATATATTGCCTCTGCCTTTGTAAGATTGAAAATCCAAGGTGATATCTCTATTATAAGTGTATATTATATAATTATAAAGGGTAAAGAGGGCTTCAAAAGAAGTTTTTCATCCTTCCTTTATTGTTGAGATTTTGTGTGTTGTGAATCGAATGTCTTAAAATAAAGTATAAATGATTTTTTTATGATAAAAAATATATAAAAATTAAGGTTAACAGAAAAAAGGTAAAATAAAAGGAACAATAATGATTAGTTATAAACTGTTATTCTTATAAATTGTTATTCTTATAAATTTACTACTATAAAAAAAAAGCTATTTAATAGCATTTTTTTTGTTTTTTGATAGCGCTTAAAAGCGCTATTAACCAAACTGTTATTGTAAAATAAAATTTTTGATAGCGCTTTAAAAGCGTTATTATAATACTGGTAATTAATAGCATTTTTCCAAAAGCGCTATTATAGTACCGGTATTTAATAGCATTTTTCCAAAAACGCTATTATAAGACACATATTAGATAGCACTTTCAAACAAAGCGCTATTATAGTACCGGTAATTTGCTTTGATTTTGATAGCATTTTCAAACAAAGCGCTATTATAAGACACATATTAGATAGCACTTTTCCATAAAAGTGTTATTATAGTACGTATCATTAATAGCACTCTCTCTTCAAAACGCTATTATAGTACTTTTTTTTATACAAAATCATTCTTTTGGTATATATATATATATATATATATATATATATATATATATATATATATATATATATATATATATATATATATATATATATATATATATATATATATATATATATATATATATATATATATATATATATATATATATATATATATATATATATATATATATATATATATATATATATATATATATATATATATATATATATAACATTTGCATTTTACGATATTAGACGATTTGGACTTAAACAAAGATATTTTAAAAATTCTCATAGTGCATTAAAAAAACTTATGATGCGTTAAGAAATTCTCTAAATTATACTCTTTCATTTTTTTTTTCACATTCATCACATAATATTCGATCTGAACTGTGTTTCCTGAAAACCAATTACTAGCTTTCAAAACTGTTATATAAAAAATTTAGAACTATATTATAAAAATAGTTTTGCAAATAATTTATTAAAATATGAAATAGTGTTTTTGAAATGTCAATATAATGCAGCCGCAAATAATTTAAACAAATATGAAAAACTTGGCAGTATATACCAAAATGAGAACAATTTCAAGTCATACTGATATAGTCAAGTCTTTCCATTTTGTCTTATTTTTGTTTATTCTGAATGTGAGAAGTTATTGTAATAAGAAACTGAGTTTTATTACTCTGGCAGAGATAAAATGAATATAATGAGTCTTCTCAAGTTAGTTGGAGTACTCTTTGTTGTGGTGTTGCAGTTGTTTGTGAATGGTGTTGTTGGTTGCTTAGAGAATGAGAGATACGCTCTCCTTCAGTTGAAAGCCAGCCTTGTGTGGGATGATGACTCTTTCTTGTTGACTACATGGGACAGTAAGAGTGATGGTTGTTGTGCATGGGAAGGAATCCGCTATAACAATCATACTGGACATGTTGAAATGTTTCATCTAAGTCGTTCTCAGTTTGGGCGTTTTCCAGGCAAGATCAACGCATCATTGATGGAGTTGAGACACTTAAAGTCTGAACGATTTGGACTTAAACGTATTGGACTTAAACAAAAATAAGACAAAAATAAGACTTCTCAAATTGTTTCCGAACGAGGAGATGGACTTAAACGATTTGGATTTGCACTGCTCCTACTGCTTCTGCGACTTTTCTCCATCTGAAACACAAAAGGCATCCAACATATGATGAATGAGGACTATTTGCTCAATCATATTATTTGAGATGGAAAGAATTAAAGGAACTTTTCCAACTAATAATGCAGGAAGAATATAATAATAATAAGGATTTCAAAATCTCACAGTAGAAGATCTTGATATGGAAATGGGTTTACTCTGCCTTCCTCTACTTGCAACATTAGTAAATGGTGGATCTTCATCCATTGAAGGAAACAGTGGCGTACCCGTGGTGTCAATAACCTTAAAATGAACGATGCAGACATGGAATCAGTGAGTGATATAAGCAGTTGTGACCAGAAAGCAACAGATGCACAGCTTAGGGATCAAGAAATCGGCATTATAGTCGGACCACGTCCATGCATTCTTAATGTAGAAATAAAGACAGTTGCAAACAGTTAGAGTCAACTCATCGATACCCTTTTTGTTTTTGGTGTAGCCTGTTTTACTTTCCAAATATACCTTTTTTCAGTTTTTCTTTTCCATGCTTAAATTCTCACAAGGCCTAATAATTGTTCGACAGCGGTTTCCTTTTCTAATTTATTATACAAAGAAACACAAAAGAGCACATCTAGTGTGAAATAAAGGAAATTGCAAACAGTCGGAACCAAAAATACATTATTCAATGACAATTCACAAAGTGATTCAACATATGAAAGTTAAACATAAGGAATATGACCAGTTATAGTCATCCTTGTCACCATCTATATTAAGCAAGTCACTAGTTCCTCGCCGACTAGGAATGGAGATTCCAACATTGACATCTGATAAATGTCTCAACCTTGTAGCTGTAAAATAATACCCACAAGATAAAAAGTAAGAAATATATTAATAAATATTACCCCAATAAATCAACCAAAGAAAGATATAACATTTTCATATGAAGTCGGCAAAGAGAATTACCGAATGAATCTTCCAAGTCATCTGAAGACTGAAGCAAAAAACTGTCTCTTTCTCTAGTCTGCATTTCATTGAACAAAGCAAGATCGTCATCGTTCCCCCGGAGAAGTATTCCACTTTCAAGATTGTGCCTCCGCTTATGATCATCTCCTCTCGCCTCTTTCCCCGGAAAGTATCTCATTGCAGGGGAAGGCGACATCTCCACTTCCCAAACCAGTATCGGGCAAGTATTACCGCGACGCCTCTAAATAAACAAAAATATAAAACCTAACCAGTAGCACCCATAAGTTTATCTCAATTCCCAAGCCTACAACAAATTCAAACACCAATCATCACTTTCAGCACAAACAAAAAAGAGAAATCTTCTATTGGTACTTAGATGAAATACCCAATAAACACTAGCATCATACTGATTAAGATAGTAACCCGTTGGGAATAGGAAAAACTGTACCATTAAAAATGCAATAATGACTCAATAATATCATCCCTTTGAACTAATGTAATATCATCCCTTTGAACTCCCAATTGCTCACAGGCATCCTCTTATGTTGCACTATCTGAAAGATGTGTCAATATACATACATATATAAGTGCTACAATAATCAAAGGAAAACTGAAATACAAAAGTAATAGGACAATGAGAAACAAGTTACCGATACAGTTGAGCATAAACTCAAAGGCTTTTATGGTCTCTTCTTGACCCTCTGTGCCCTTCTTGTCATTGACCTTTCTAATGAAACGAATGTAACACCGCCTATAAACAAGGATAAACAACACTGAATTCTCACATATAATCAAAACCTTTCAAACAACATATCCAAAAGGAAACTAATATATCAACCATTGTCATAATCAGAATAAGAAAACGACATACCAGAGAGGAACTTGAAGACAGTTCAACAAACAGCGACTAAAAATCCCTTTTGCCACAGAATTCGATATGTTATATCACGTGTCTCTGTCTCAATAGATCCCTTTTGCCACAAAATTCGATATGTTATATCACGTGTCACAAGGCATCACATTGTCACTAATGATTTCAATAAGGATCATATTGTCACTGAATATTTCAGTAAGGATCATATTGTCACTGAAGATTTCAATAAAGACCACTAGTGAATTTATCAAATAAGCATTTGCATGACAGCAAGCCAAGACTATATTCAAACCCATCATAACGAATTTGCTGAAATCCATTGGTTGTACTCATCCATCCTTATTATGAAGGAGCTTGAACTTGCGGAACCTCCTATGTTGCACTTCCATATGAAACTGATCCCGTTTGTGACGTGCTGTTGGCTCGAGCTTTCAGGAACTGTCGTATCCGGAAAGCGCCGCGAGGAGGCGGTTGGCTTTGGAGAGATGTAGTATCATCATCTTCTTCTCCTAAACATTATAATAACAAATATCAATCATGTTAAAATTGGATTTTGATGTCAAAACACTAGAATAAGAAAAGCTAAAAGCACATTCTTGTAAATTTAATGAATTGTGTGATTTTGTCTACTCTAGAGAGCTTAGAGAAATGGATTATGCCCATATTGTCTAATTTTTTTCTTTTCTCACAATGCTTGCTACCAGAAAGTTCACTTGTCCCATTTTTACCACTTTGTTCCATTGGAAGGTCGTTCTGCAAACAAATCGATAGCACGATATCCACATTTGGAGTTGGACCTGCATGTTTCAAAACACAGTTATTGACAGTGTTTAGATATACGTAAAAAATAGAAGATATGTTGTGTGATCTATGTGAAATTGTAGTTAACAGAAATATTGAAAATTACCATAAACTGTGGGTAGGTTTGCTACAAATGCAACCAAAGCAGGCGGTGTAGCTTTAAGAATTTCATCAAATGCAGTTGTGCCAGCAGTTGTACCCGGATTCTACTTTGGATCATATACCAACATCTTTGAAGTATCAGGATAGACAATCTTTGATGACATAGTTGAAATGTTTGCAACAGATCCCTTATCTGCATTAATAGTGTATCATTAAATTAACCGTGTAATAAGAAATATCGAGAAACCAAGTGCGAGAATAAGTATAATCTGTGTGAATTGTGAAGTCTATTCAACATGCATAATCATCGTTTTAATCAAATCCATAGAGTACTACTACCTTGAGCATGCTAGCAGGATTCCCATAAGTTTGCTCAAATTGAACGAACCTTTTCCAAACCTGCAAGTAAGATTAGTTACATGCAAATTTAACATTAGAAAACAACTATTGAATATTATCAGAGATGCTTAATGCTTCATACAAATGAGGGGACATTCCACATATTGCTATAAATATCCCAATACGAAATTCTATCCATAAGTATGAAATACCTCAACCGATTTCTCTGGAGGAAGTGAACTCAATGCCCTCTGAAATAAAGCACGTATATTTCGGTCATCATTGAGACGTGTCAAGAAATCTGCATATCTGAAACATCAGGGAAACATTCTTAATGTTCAATACTATTTTTTTGGCAGGAAAATAATTATTGTTAAGAGAAATGAAAAAAAGTACAAGCAGTATAAGATTTAAAAACTAATGCTATATTTTGGAGTGAAATGACAAGAATAACCAGAGAAAGGATAAAGTAGAACTCACTCGAGAACATAGACTGGCTCATGCATAAAGCGTTTTAATCCGTCTTTAAAAACGTTGTGAGCCATCTCCAAGGATAATCCGAATTAATTTTCTAGAAGTTAAAAACTAAGCATAAGACTCCAAGACTAGAAAGTACTTTGTGAAAGAAAGGAAATGGTAAGACCTTAGGATCCTTGTCAAGACAAAAGGCCACTGATGCATAAGCCACATAAACATGATATGAACAAGTTGGGGATTTGTGAGCATCCATAAAGTACTTTTTAGCAGCTTCAACACCTTCGGTTCTTCTAAGAAAACGAATAAACTGTACCATGAGACAGATTTCATACCATTTCCATGCAAATATATCAACAGTTATTATAAAATTAGACTAGGAACTTGAACTTGCAAAACAACTTTTCATATTGTAACACCCATTTTAATTATCAAGCCTTTTCTATGTTATTTTATTTTTGGTGTGCCCTTTTGTGGGGGTGTGGTTGATTGCGAGGGTGTGTGGCCCTTAAGTTGGAGTTTAATTGATAACCTTGGACTCTAATATTAATGATATAATTTTTAATGATAATAATAATTTAATAGATAATAGTAATATTATTGATATTATTATTATTATTATTATTATTATTAATATTATTATTATTAGTAAATGGGATAAGAGAAGGGGAATAAGGGGAATTTTGGAGATTTGGAAAGAAGGAAGAAAAGGAAAAATACGATCCAAGAGGAGAAGATGAGGAACACGATGAAATTGGAAAGGAAGAGCACGGTCAATTGGAAGGAGATTGAAGAGGAGGATCAAGGAGGAAGAAGAAAGCTAGAGTTTCAGAGTCTTCTTAAATCCGATCGACTTATCGAGGTAAGGGGGGAGAAATGGGTCAAATTGGTAGAGTGCATGAATTCTAGGTAGAAGGGGAGTTCCAGTGCGATTCATCCGGTGCTCCCTTGTGGAGGGTTGATGGCCAGGTGTCCATCGGTGCTCCTGTGTGGAGAATGGTGGGATGAATTGTTGCTCAGATGGAGTGTATGCGATTCATCCGGTGCTCCCTTATGGAGGGTTGATGGTCCGATGTCCATCGTTATTGTTGAGTCGGTACCGCATATCATGGTGTCGTGTTGCATATGTTTGCATTGTTATGTGTGTTGTGTTGGTGTTGGACTATAGGTCCGGATTGATGTATGTGGAATGATGTTTGTTTGTTTACTGCCTTTTATTCATGTGCGTTATTACCGTTATATTTTGATCGTGATTTCTCACCCCTTGTTGTTGTTGTGGTCTAGTACAGACAATCCAGGTGCATAGCTAGTTTCGATTGTGGCGAGTCGAGTCGTAGGGATGCTCTGATACGTAACACCGGGGCTTTTGGGAGTTTATTGTTTATTTGATGAT